ACTGCGCAGGCTCGAAGGGTTAATGACCTTTCCCAAATCTTCGCTCGCGAAGACTGGCCATTATCACCCGCCCAAGTGAGGCTCCTCTCGACGAGGTGCTCCCCGGCTCCTGGACATTTATCCAAGAACATCGATATCCTCCAGAGCTGGGGGGTGGGGAGGTTTGGGGTGGTCCCCAGATAAGTTTTGGGGGAGGCAAAAGGGTCAAGGTGAGTTTTTGGGGTGCTCAGTTCAGAGTTACACGGATGCTGCTTGGGAGGAAGAGCCAGCAGTGACAAGCAGCGCTGGGACACCCCAAAATTTGGGGCTGGAGGGTGGGAGAAGACAAAAAAATCCCAACAAAAGGAAATTTAAGCTGTTTGCATGGAGAAAAGCTGCCGAGCAGCTCCTGCTCCTGCTCGGAAGGGCTCGGAGCCGAGGAGTGAAGTGCAGTGGCTGTGACAAGGCTCCTGCCTACCCCCACCCCCCGGCTGCTTTTTGAGGTGAAAACTCAGTTTTGGGTTAATTCGGAGTCCCACATCCTCGGGACAAAGAGGCACCGCAGGGGGTGATGCCAGGGGAAGCGATGGGAAGTGAGAGTGGGGTGGGGTGGGATGGGATGGATCCCAGCAAGGATGCCGGGCTGCGGTGACATCCAGAGAATGGAGCTCGGGTGACAGCTCAGGGGTCACAGCCACGTCTTGTCCCTTGAGTTGTGGCCAGGGGGCACATGGGATGGGAAAGGAGCACCTGAAAACGCGGAGGGGGCAAGGCTGAATCTTGGGTTTGGGGGGATAGGGTTGGGGGGATGTGGGAGTGGGGAGGGGGAAGGAAGGACGTGTGTCCCCCCAGTGTCCCCACACAGCCCGGCCAGGGGTGGGGACATCTCCTCTGGCACAGCAGCAGCAGAACCAGTTCTGAGCTGGGGGTTCAGCCCCTCAAAAGCGGGGCAGGCGCTGCCCCCCTTGAGGCCACCACAGACATTGTCCCTGCCCCCCCCCCAGGGACCCCAGCAGGAACAATGGCACGGCCGGGGGGGGCCAGGGCACCCCCGGGGTACTGAGGGGGTGTCCTAAGGCACCCCAAGGCACAGCAGAGCACATCTCTAGGGCCAAGGAAAGGACTGAGGGACCCTTGGGGACATGTCAGGGTGGGTGGTGACTGTCCCCAGCGCAGACAGGACGGGGGACAGGGATGGGGCACCCGGGGGAGCATGTCTGGGGATGGGAGGGGGATGAGGCTCTCTGGTGCAGGCACCTGGAGCACATCACTGTCCCTGGGAGAAGGATGGGGCACCCCAGATGTGCTCCTTTGGGGCAGCGAGCAGGACAGGGCACCCTGGGGGTGCACCCAGGGCCCATCACTGGGAGAAGGATGGAACATCCCGAGGGAGAATCTCTGGGGCTGGGAGAAGGATGGAGCACACTGAAGATGCAGCTCCAGGGCTGGCAGCAGGACAGGGCACACCGGGGGTGCACCCAGAGTCCTCCATGTCCCCAGGAGAAGGACGGGGCACCCCAGGGGTTACAGATCCATGAGTAGGAGAAGGATGTGGCACCCTGGAGATGCACCCAGAGCCCACCACTGCCTCCAGGAAAGGGACACAGCATCCTGAGGCACATTCCTGGGAAAAGGACGGGGCGTTCCAGGGTCCAGCCAGAGCCCATCTTAACCCCTGGGAGAAGGATGAAGCACCCCAGGGGTGCATGTCTGTGGCTGGGAGAAGGATGTGGCACCCCAGGGATGCACCCAGAGGCCATCATTGCCGCTGGGAGAAGGATGTGACACCCTGGGGAGGTATCCCTGGGGCTGGGAAAAGGATGGGGCCCCTAGGGAAGTGCGCAGAGCCCATCATCGGCATGGGAGAAGGATGTGGTACCCTGAGGGGTCATCCCTGGGGCCAGGAGAAGGATGGAGCACCCACCGGGTGCATCCCTGGGGTTGGGAAAAGAGTGGGACTCCCCAGGAAAGCACCCAGAGTCCACCATCAGCACAAGGGAGAAGGATGTGGCACCCTGGAGGTGCATCCCTGGGGCCAGGAGGAGGATGGAGCACCCGGAGGGTGCATCGCTGGGGCCGGGAAAAGGAGGGAGCACCCCGAGGAAGAATCCAGAGCCCTTCTCCAGTGCTTGGTGGGGGCAGTACCACTCCTGTGCCTGAGGAGGGAGCCGGGATGGGCAGTCCTTACCTGCCCATTCTTGCAGAGGTCTGCCCACATGCTGGTGCCGTCGCTGCTGCGCATGAGGACGTGGTAGGTGAAGTAGCTGCCAGGGATGGCACAGGTGAACTTGCCCGAGGCAGCGTCGTAGCTGTTGCCCAGGTTGGTGACCACGTCGTCGAACTTGAGCACCTTGTGGGGGTTCTTGAGCCCGGCGTAGAAAGCGACCCTCGACACTGTGCTGTAGGTGGCCGTGCTCCCCTCGCCCCCAGTGGCCCCGGCGGCTCCGGTTCTCCGGGTGGTCCCAGCGGTCCTGGTTTCTCCGGTCTGCCCAGTTTTCCTTGCAGACCTTGCACAAGTGTGGAGGGCAGCGGGAGGGGGCCACTCTTGGCAGGCTGCGGGGGGGCGGTGGGGCCGTAGGGCTCGCAGACCATCCAGCAGGTGCCCAGCATCTCTTAGCGGCCGTCGGGCCTGGCGGAGCTCACCAGCACCGGGATGAGCACCACCAGCACCAGCACCATCGCCATCCCCGCTGCGGCCGCCAGCAAAGTTTTGCAGCCCAGGCTGAGCCACCGCCCGACCGGGGCGCGCTGGCACCCAGGGGAGGGAATGCCGACGGGGGGGAGCAAGGCAGGGCAGCGGCTTCATGACCTCCACTGGCTCCGGTGCGCCCCGAGCTGCTCGGGATGCACCCACCCCGACTGGGGAATGCCCACCCGGCCATGGACACGCCATCCATCCCCGGACAGGGCCGTGGTCGCTGATAACTATGCCCTGGACATGCCCCTGCCACGCCCACCCGCGACTACCGGTGCTCCGTGGGAAGGGAAACTGAGGCGGGGGGTTGATGGACCCCAGATGCCACCCTGACGCCCCTACTTAGCACTCGGGACCCCTCGGTCACCCTGGGCCCCTGTCCCCAAGCGATGTCACCCCCAGCCCCGAACACCCTCCAAGCTGGGGACACCCCCGGGACCCGTCACCTCACCCTAACCCTAACTCTAACCCCACAAACGGACACCGGGGGGATGATCCCCACGGCACAGCCAGGGCCCATCCCACCTCCCTGCCTCAGTTTCCCCTCCCTCCACACTCTGGAGGAGCCCCACACTTTGGGACAGCCTGGGTGACACCCACGTGGCCCGAGCATCCATCATGGTCACCCACGGGGTTCGTGGGCTGGGGTGTCACTGCAGGTGGCAAAGGCCACTGTGACAACGGGGCAGCCGCGGGTGCCACCGCGGGGGTGGCCGGGCCCCCCAGGGGGCTGAGCCCCGGCGAGCTCATGACATGGGGACACACTGCTGCGCCCGCTCCGTCGCCTGCCATCTCCATCACCCTCGGCGGGGACAGCAGGACGCGATGGCAAGTGACAGGCGCCGCCAGCGCCGGGGGTGAGCGAAGGACGCAGGGAAGGTGGGGGGGACACGGACACACGGGCAGAGAGCAGCCCAGGGGCCACTCCCAGTGCCGCCCACTGCGGCCTCGGGTGACAACACCGAGGTGGCATCAACCCTAATGGCACCTATGAGGTCCATGGGGTCATCGTCCCCCCTTACCCCCAAAAAACAACACCGGGGGTGCATCCCCTCTTCCACTACCACACCTGTGCAATGTCCTCAAACCCCAGCGGACACATGGGGGACAGACAGCCCCCCCAAAAGAGAGGGGACCAAGGGGACGCTCAGCAGCCATCGATCGCCCCCAAGTGTCCCTGGGCTCCCGCAGAGGCTTTAATCAGCGAACACAAATCAATTAACTGCCTTTAAGGAGGCAATTATTCCTGGGGGCATAATGAGACGGGGGGGCAGTATTTTGGGGTGGGGGCACTGCCGGCATCGTGTCCCCCCCTCAAAGCTGTCACCATCATGTCACCAGCTGCTTTCCTGGTTCTTTTCTCCATCGTTATCGTCTCCCCCCCCATCCCCCCGCTCCTCGTTATCTTTCTTTTTAACAAGCGCCTAAAAATACGCCGTGGTGAGGTCACGGGCTGCGTAAGTCACCACTGGCGTGGGGACGGGGTGGCCCGGGTGGGCAGGGGGGGTGAGACAGACACACCCCGCTTGCATCAGGGCACTCGTTTCACCTGAAGGGTCAGAGGACATCCCTGGTCTTGGCCACTTCATCCTCACGGTGGGGACACAGCCTCAGGTCACCTCACTGCTGCAGGACATTGTGTGGCACGGCCACCACCCCAGGCCACCTCATCACCCTGGGCAACCCCATCCCCATGGCACGACCACCACCCCAGGCCACCATGTCTCCAGCCCTGCTGCAGAGCTTCAGCACCACCTCGGGATGGCAGCGCTCCGTGGGTGGAGACAACACCCCATGCGACACCGGCTGGTGACCCTGAGGTGCTCGCTGTCCCCAACCCTTGCACAGGGAGGGGGTGCAGTGCAGCCCCCCGAGCCGGCTCCGTCCACGTGGGGACAACAGAGCGGCAAAGCTTTAAAGGGCCACGTCTGGGAGCGTAGGAGCAGGGAAAGGGACAAAGCTGGGAGGTGGCAGCGTAGACTCCAGTGACTGTGGTGGCAGCAGTGGCCGCGGTGGTGGCCGCGGTGGTGGCAGTGTCGCCAGTGGTCGTGCTGGCAGCGGTGGCTGTAGTGGCTGTGGTTGTGGTTGCAATGGTGGCAGCACCTGTTGCGCCGGTGGCAGCAGTGGCTGTGGTGGTTGTGGGAGCAGTAGCGGCAGTGGGGGCTGCAGGGACAGAGGCTGCAGTAGTTGTGGGGATAGTGGTGGCTGCAGCAGTGGCTGTGGTGACAGGGGCTGTGGTGGCAGTAGCTGTGGTGACAGGGGCCGCAGTAGTGGCTGTGGCGGCCCCGCTCGCCACTGCCGCTCCTCTGCAAAGGTTAAGCAAACCAGCGGCTCCCCCACAATCGATCCCAGCTGTTTGCTTTGGCAGAGCGGAGTGCGGGCGGGGGGCGCTGCCGAGGGGACGCCGACAGCAGAGGGGGAACAGTCGGTGCTCCGGGGGCGCTGGTTTGGCCGAGGGGTGGCTATACCTGCTGCTCTCTGAGAGGCTCCTGGAGGAGGATTTGGGGAAGGGCGAGGGCAGCCGGGCCCAGGCAGGGGGTTTGTGGGGCTGGGGCTGGGCTGTGCCTCAGTTTCCCCTCTCACTCTGCCCACAGGACCACAAGTGGCCAGGGGGACAGGGACATTGTGCCCTCCACACCCACCCAGCCCCGCAGCTGGGGGTCAGCCTGGGTAGGCTCAGCCCAGGGGTGACTGTAATTACCTGGGCTCGGCTGTAATTAGCACTCGGAGCTGGACACAACATACGACCCCCATGTCAGCCTGGGGAGGGAGTAGCCATTCACAAACTGCCCCCAAAACCCTTGTATGTCCCCAGGGTGGGGTCTGAAGGGACCATGGGAGGGGGACACACAGGTGTGGACAGGGATGGCGGTGTCAGGTCCTTGGGCAGGACCCCCAGGGCAATGGGAGCCTCTGTCCAGACCGTCCCCTGGCCTCAAGAGAGGACACCAGCCACCCCAGCCACCAACCTCCAGGCCTGTGTCACCTCCATCCCTAAGAAATGCCACCCCAATCACCTTGTTAGGAGGCAGAGGTTATTAAGAAGAGGAATGAAGAAGTTTTCCAGTCTGTGGAAGCCTGGGGAGATGCAGCACCAGCACGGATCAACATGGGAGCAAGGGAAGACCCCACGAACCGGTCCTGAGGTGGTGACCCTGGAGCTGGCCAGTGGGCTGCCTGGCTAGCCACAGGGCTAGCTGTCTGGTTGGTCAGGTTGGTGACTGGCCAGCTGCTTGGCTGGTGGTTGGCCAACTGGCTGGTGGGCTTAAAGGCCAACTAAGTGTCTGGTTGGTGATCTGGGTGGTCGGTAGCCAAGTGGCTCCCTGGCAGTGGGCTGGCTGGTTGGGCTGGGTGGTAGATGGCCATGGGGTGGGCTAGCTGGCTGGTGGGTTGGTTGGCTCATTGGCCAGCTGATTGCCCATCTGGCTTGTTGGCTAGTTGGCTGGCTGGCCAGTTGACCAACAGGCTGTTTGGCTGGCTGGCTCATTGGCCAGCTGATTGCCCATCTGGCTTGTTGGCTAGTTGGCTGGCTGGCCAGTTGACCAACAGGCTGTTTGGCTGGCTGGCTCATTGGCCAGCTGATTGCCCATCTGGCTTGTTGGCTAGTTGGCTGGCTGGCCAGTTGACCAACAGGCTGTTTGGCTGGCTGGTCAGTAGAGCACCGGGCTCATTGCCTGTCCAACTGTCTGTCTGTCTGTCTCACCAGTTGCCCAGTTGGCTGGTGGCCAGGGGCTGGCTAGCAGGCCAGACAGCCGTGTCAGTCCTGGCCCCGGGGACAGAGACGTCCAACGCTGGGCACTGTCCCTCGCCCAACGCAGGAGCCCGGCCGCAGGCGGGGGTGGGGCAAGGTGTGGGTGACACCCCCCCCGTCCCTGTCCCTGTCACGTTGCCGCTCATTACGGACACGGCGGGGCCCGTCACCCTCCCGCCGCGCGGCAATTAAGGGCTGCCAACACCAGCAGTTAATTAGCACCGGCGGTGAGCGCTGCCAGGTGACGGTTGAGTGGCTGCTGAGGGGACGGGCTGGGGATGTGTTCCCCCGGGGGCACGAGGGGTGGGAGTAGCGGGGACTTGGGCTGCTGGCACCAGCTGTGCTGTCCCCGGGGCGCCCCACGGCCGGCGTGACGCGGCGAGGGGTGCGCAGTGACAGCGGGGGACAGCGACGGGACGTGCAGGGGTGGCACTGGGGAGTGTCCTGCGCGGTGACGGTGTGTGACACCCCAGGCCGTGCAGTGACGGTGACAGTGGGTGACACCCCGTAGGCCACCCGATGACATAGCACTTTGTGACAGCCCCTGCACCAGGCACTGATGGTTACTCTGTGTGACAACCCACGGGAGCTGCAGTGACACTGCGTGGCACCCGGCGGCCCCGCAGTGACAGTGACACCCTGTGCACTGCGCGGTGACAGTGACACCATGTGACACCCCGGGGAGCAACAGTGAAGCTGTGCAGCACCGTGGGCCTGTGCTGTGTGACATGAGTGGGGCTGTGCAGCCGTGATGACACTGTGTGACACCCCGGGGAGGTGTGCAGTGACAGCGACACTGTGCCACACGCCAGGGACCGTGCAGGGATGGTGACACTGTGCTAACACCATGCAGTGACAGTGACACCCGTGACAACAGGCACCGTGCAGTGACACTGGTGACACCAGTGCCAGGCAGTGATATTACACTCAGACCCCCCGGGCTGTCCCTCCTTGTGGGTATTGAGCCCCCCAGCCAGCTCACACCTGGGGCAGTCCCCACTGGGGGATGTCACCCTGTCGCTATAGCCCATAGGGGGACATCTGCATCCCGTGGGTGTCCCATGATCGGGTGCTCCAAGGAAGGCGGGGGTCAGGAATGGGATGCACGGGAGAGGGGTTACACGAGGGAGGGAGCTCCAGGAAAGGGGGTGCGGTGGGAAAAGGGGTGCTCTGAGGAAGGGATGCACTGGGGAGGGGTGCAGCAGGGAGGGGGTGCGCTGGGGAAGGAGGTGC